TACAAAGAAATACACATGTATAGCGTGTCTATGGAACAATTTGACGTAAATAAAGTTTTCCATTCTTCTTGTTGACATAGTATCTAATAGTAAGAATTATAATGAATCTTATACACTACAGTAATTTTTTAACTATTTAAAAAGAGATATATTTACAAATTTCCAATTTAATAGGGGTTTCTACCTTGCCTCATGGAACAAAAATACAGCAAATTTTTGTTTCAATGTCACTCAGATACAAACAAAGACTGGAAATATTTACTATTAATTGAAGTAAACAAAATGATTTGTAATTTTTCCACTCAATTTATTTAGACATCGCAGCCAATTATAACGACTTTGGAAATAGCTTCCAAGTATGTTTCCAATTGGAGATAATTCTAAGAAATCGTTTCCTTTGCCATTCTCCAATTAAGAAAAGGTATTAAAGAGGTTCAATGAGATTCAATAACGACCAGCTTCATGAATGGAGTCATGAGAAATCTAAAAATATTCAATAAGTATTATCTGAAGAAAAATTGAATATCTAATTTTAAATTTAATTTAATTGGGAAATAAGTCAATAGGAAGGGACTAAGGATGTAGTTTTTTTTATCATAATTGATTGCTTAGGAAATATATTAAGGAGTTTTCTGGCAAAATATTATAATAGGTTCAAAGTATTAAAATTGTGTGGTAAACGAATTATCAGTTTAAGTATCTATAGGGACTATTGATAAGAATCCCCTCGTTTCATGTAAGGTTTAGCCAAAAATAAAGGAGCTAAATACCTGCACGGTAATTCTTAGATGCTCAATTAATAACGCAACTAAAACATTACATTACAATATCAAAGCCCATTACGGATGATACTATAAGTCTTTAGAAAGAAATTTAACATAAATATAATATTTAAAACAAAAAGAAATTTGTAAACAATTTGAACACATTGTACTCACGTACTATTTATAGTAGTAGTTTTTGTCACATCCCAATCAGCGTATTTTTATGAGCATATTGAAACAATTAAGGTTGAGATATACATATATTTTAAGTTTAATTTTATTACTGACTTAATTTTTAGTCAGATTTGTTTTCAGTTTCGGATCGGTCGATAGCCGCATGGGTTAAGGCGTCAGTACTTAAATAGTGTGCAAATGTCTGCCCGGGTTCGATTCCCGCGGCCTGTAGACCGTAGATTAGCTATGCTTGTACGGAGGATTGGCGCCCTCTGTGCAGGTATGGTAGGGTGGAAGAATGTTGGCTTATATGGCTGACATATTCCAAATTTTCTGCTTGCATTTCTTAACAAACGTAATTAAATTATGGAATACAAATATTTAAAGGGTTACCTACTTACTCTAGAAGTTATATCTTACTAAATTTTATTGAACATTAAAAGAACAATCAATAATCAGTCAACGATAATAAAGGAAACGATAGTTGAACTCATAAAAATGTTTTATTTTTTACGAAACTAGTGGATTTAACATAGCAGACTTTAATAGTTACAAATCAAAAGCATATTGGATGAATATGTTGTGAGTGTATTCCTATTGTAATACTTAGAGATGACCATCCAGTCATCCATTTAATTAACGGAATCTTATGCAGGACTAAAACACTGATACTCATTTACTAAAATCACTTATTAACGCTTTTTGATAGGAGATGACCTAGCGCTGGGAATGGCAGAAATAGGCGAAATCTTATGATAGGTTGGAAGAAAAAGTCGCAAACTGAAAAAGTATTTCCAAAATGAAGAATTATTTACAGAACGTAGTCATGTTGGTATTTTATAAAATAAATACTAAATAAAATAAAAACATAATACATAATAAAATAAAACACTACAAAAATTTGTTTTCCATATTTGAAGTTGTACATATTAAATAATATAAAGGTAGTTTTGTATTGTATTCATTCTAAATACGAAGGCAGAACGGAATAGAATGTAAGGTACATACAGGGTGGTTTCACTTTAAATACGGAAACTGCAATAATAGTTTTATTACCAAAAAAATAAGTAGAGTTTGCTCTATAAACTCTTCTCCTAGGGGACGCGGTATTCGACATACAGGGTGTTAAAGTTTAAAAAAAATATGTGAAAAATGTTCCTTGGTGTTTTTTAATTGTAGTAGTTTTTTTACATTTTATTGAACTTTTCTAATAAATTAACCCTTTTACTTGATGAAATATTAACCTTGTGGTTTTAACCAGTGACGTGCTACTAAAGCGGCCGCCAACTATTCCCAAGAAAATAATACGCCAGTGGCGGTTTTTTATAGAGATAATTTCATTTCTGGAAGAAAATATTAAACTAAATAATAAAATAACATTAGGTAAAAAATATAAATAATAAATAAAAATAGGTCGAGTTAGTAATTAAATAACGAGTCCTACAACAATTGTTCCAAATAAAGTCCTTCCGCATGGATACACTTTTAACATTCTAATCAGACTATTTATAGAGGAAGTTATCATGACATGAGATTACAATTTTCCTCTAGTTTTTTCCAGTTCATCTCGTTTTTCTTTATTTTTTAAAAATCACTAGACAAACTAATCCATGACATTAAGGTGAGGTGAACGGGATGGCCATCTTACCGGCCAAGTTCCCTTGGTTCATTATATTCTAGTGGAAGGCGTCCGATTCAACGATATCACTAATTTCTTTGTAACCATATTGTATTTGCCGGCCATAGTGCGTAGATTCTCCATCCAACTGAACTTAAATTTAATGCTACATCATCAAATACCTCATTCCTTAGCTACTGAAACTCATTTTGTAGAAAATTGTAAAATGAAGCCGTAGATGTAAAACAAAAATATAATTCGTTTTGTAAACTTTAACTCCCTGTATCTCGAATACCGTGTCCCTCAGGGAACAGTTTATTAGGCAAACTCTACTTATTTTTTGGCTCTTCTTGTAGTTTCTGTATTTAAAGCGACATCAATCATAATTACACAATAAATAAACACACCCGTAAATTTTCACTCAAAATCAATCACATTTTTTGTTAAAACGTGCCCACACCCAATTGAGTCGAAATAATAACACTATTCGTTGAGTAATGTTCACTCAACTATTTGTTAGCTAAATAGATCTTATATTAGTAGCAGTGAATAACTTTTAAGTTCGCTTGCTAAAATATATTGTATGCTACTCTGAATAGTCACTAAACTCAATTCATAATTACACGTAAGTAAACGTGTTTGTTGTCTGATATCAGGGTATAAACTATGCCTCAGGATATACACAACATTGTGTTTTCTCTACTCAGAAATTCGTAATATTAGCAACAACTGGAGTGATTTTTTATTGCAAACTTTATTTAACTTCACACGTATGTTTATTTGTTTGTAGGTACGTATATTTAGTTCAAATCTTGCAAGCCAAATTTAAACTACTACCTCTAAATTTACGATTTTGAAATGCATGCTTGTTCAGTTCCAATGACAATAATATACTAAAATGATGAAAATATTTTAATAACAGGTTTTTATTGAAATGCACAGGGATGTGCACCCCTGCTTTATAAAAGTGTCGCCAGCAAAAGGATGATAACTGCATACTGTCTATAATCAGTATGTTCATATTCTTTTCCGATTTAAAAGCTTATCGAGTAATTTTTTTAACTTGCCCCTTAAAATAAAAATTCGCATAAGAACATGATTATGGATACTACGTGTCTATTTATCATCCTCTTGCTGATGACATTTCTAACCATATCCCTTTTGTGGGTTTGGGGTTTACACAACATTATGGGTTTTTTGAACTCCTTGGTTTATTTTTTCTTTTTTGTGTATTTTAAATAAAAGCTTATTTTTTAAATATTTTTTTTACTTTTCATTTCCACACATTTTAGTTCTTCTTACTAAAAGTTGTATCGATAAGCTAATTCCTTTTTTAAAATCTTAACATTCAAAATTCAACGTCAGAATAATTTCACTCATAAATCCTGGTTTGTGGTATCCTTTAAAATCTTATTTCCGTTCTCATCTAGCTACTTCTGAATACGACACTTTTTATGGAACTGTAATTCCTTGAAAAAATGGATTAAACTACATTTGCGTGAATGATTCCTTCATTTAAATTTCAGAAGCTTATATTAAAAGTCAAGTAAAGTGCAGAATTTCCCTTGTTTCGGAATTCCTCTCACTAATGCATATCGCTTCCATTTTTGAAGGTTTACCATCTCATAAAACAATTACATTGAGATCTATATGATCTTGTGTACAATATTCATGTACGACTATTCGTATACATTAATGACAAATCCATAAATAGCGATACGGTTAAATAATAACGTAACATTTTAACTACTGGTATATTCCCGTGTAACGCTTCACCTTTAGCTCGAAGAGAAAACGGTATTTCAGTGACATATCTGCGAGAATTAAACCCAATTCAATATTTCTCTGGAAAGTTATTGAATGTTATTACCAAGCATCTATTAAACTTCATCATTCCTCTCAAATTTGATTTATTAGAACGAAATTACCGCACAATTTCTTGGAAAATTAACAAATCGAACTTTAGTTCCCAGATTTGCCGAATGTGCGCACTTTAGGGCGCTGCATGCGCAGGACGACGTCGGTAAGCTCTCAACGCTAGTCAGCTTTCAGGACCTGGTGCGTGATGTCAAGATTATACGCGTCCGTCGATTGTTTCACCCGATGTTTATTCTAATCTAATTTAATTTATATCTCGACATTTCGTGTAATTTAATAGATGTGACTAACGTTAAAATAGAGTGTATTTTAAAGTATAGTAGAAGGAAGTGCTAAAATAATTGTGATTTTTTTCTTTTTTGATATTCGTAGAGCAAATAAATTAACAAATGTGTGTGGTAGAGTAAAAAGCATATTACTCGTATTCCGGTTAGTATCCATAGATGTGACGAGCGGAATTTTTGCAACTACAACGTTCGCTGCTTACGCGAATTGTTTCTAAATACCTCGACCAGGGAGATTAAACCATGTTGTCGGAAACCTAGCTCCTCTCGGATTCTCCAGAAATGGCCCGCAGTTACGTTGATTTGCGAGCTTTCCGGCTATGTTTGTTTATGTTACTGCTCTCTAATTTAATAAAAAGTGATGCGGTGCCCGATCAGAGAACACCGCTAACCTCTCGCACGGTGAGGACTAAGTACGGTGACGTGAGTGGCGTGATAGTGACATTGGATTCCAAGCATCTCGAGCCCGTGGAGATTTTCAGGGGGATTCCGTACGCGAGCCCTCCTCTGGGCAGCCTGAGATTCATGCCCCCTGTGACGGGGGCCCTTTGGCAGGGCGTGAAAATCGCGGACAAGTTCAGCCCGGTATGCCCGCAGCGACTGCCGGACATCGCTAACGAGACGGCGGCCCTAAAGAGGATGCCGAGAGGACGATTGGAATACTTAAAAAGGCTATTGCCTTACCTACAGGAGCAGAGCGAGGATTGCCTCTATTTGAATATCTACGCCCCCGCACAAGGTAGGAGTTTCGTGCTAGAATTTAGTTCCAAATTAAGGTAACTTTGGAACTCTCGGCGAGTTCTGCAGGAAATGTTTCTTTATAGGGGAAAGTTGTCTGTTAATGGGACTGTTTGTAAGTGAAATGACAGGTTCATAATATAACGACTAACTAGCGTGCAAACTGAAAAGTTGTATTTCAAGATATTTTTAATTAATCCGCCTTATCTTTATTCCTTAGCAAATTTAGGATATCTGACACTACTTGATTTTTTAGCAAAATATTCTTTAAATAAATCTACTTTTGAAAATTAACCACGTTATAAATTTTACGAAATGAAGATTATCTTAGGATTCCTATAAACTTTCCTAGTTCCTTTTAACCACACATTTTAAAAGATAATGGAAATATTAACTTGACGAATTTAATGGTATGAAATTTGTTCAATGTGTACTTTTATAGAATTGTTTGGATTTATCTGAAATTCCAAAGAATGTAACAAGTTTTCATGACATGTACGATAATCCAATATTAAATATCTCAAAATAATGTACTACGTAAATAAGACACAACTCTTTTAAGGAACTTATCACGTTCAAATACTACATATATGAAATTGATTAACTTTAAATCATGTTCATAAAATAAAGTTTAATTTAAATATAGAGAGTGTCCTGGTATTTGATACAAAATCGAGTACAAATAGATGAGATCAAAATAATTTTAGTTCTTCATTTAAATTTTTTTCATACGGGCCTTCGTTAAAAAGTTACGGGCCCTCAAAGGTAAAAATTAAAAAATATTTTTATTTACAGTCTCTAAATAATTAACTTCAGCATGGTGCAAATTTGGTGATCGATAACACATGCGTACAGCTTGTTTTTGATATTATAAATGAAACTTCATTATGCCCAGAACGCCAAAGACAGACTATGCCCAACGGTTAACAACCCAGAATTTTTGTATAGATGACGATCGCAATCTGCCTGTATCAAAAATAAGTTACGTGATGAATTTGCCAACGATAATACCCACTAGGTTCAACTTGGTAAAATTAACAGTTTATGAAATATTTGTGATTTTATGTCACAGTGCACATCGAGTGGCACCTTCACCATTTATTGTTTTTAATTTTTTAATTGGACATAATTACTATGCTAGAACTGTACATATTTTTAAAATAAAGAGCCTAAAAAATCTTACTGTCTGATATTGTAATATTCACTACCAAAATTTGACATAATACAAAATAGAGAAATAAAACCGGAATAAGTTAAAAAAATTATTTAAATGAAAGAAAACTATCAAAATACATTTTCAAAATAGACACTTTTCACCTCCACACACTTCCTAACTCTACGACTGTTATTTGTTTGTACCCAAAAAAGCATTGTCTAATATTATCACAATTGAAATTAATTATTTGTAACAATTCATCGTTTGTTTATACTGGGGCTGCGTACATTAAACTTTTCAGGTATCCCCATAGGAAGAAGTCCATCGGGATAATGTATGGAGAACGTGGTGGCTATGAAATTGGGCCTGCTCTCCCAATTCATGTATTATTAAACACAATGGATAAATAATTTCGTACATCAATAGTGAAATGGGGAGGAACGTCATCGTGCATGGAACCAAACGTTTCTACGGGTGTCTAATGGAACATCTGCTAATAGTGGCTGCAAATTAGTTTGCAAAAACTAAATATCGATATCCATTCAAACGTTCCTCATAAACGGATGGATCTATTAAATTATTACCCCAGAAATGCTTTTTCGTATACTATCAAATAACATTCGTAGCCATAGGAAGTGTGAAAATGTATTTTGATAGAATTATTTCTTAACTTATTTTTATTAACTTATTTTTGTTTTGTTTTTCATTTTGTGTTATATGTAAAGTATGTTTGTCAAATTTTGTTAGTGAAAATTACATTAGTAGATTAGAAATAAGATTTTCTAAACTCTTATTATAAAAATAAATTAAAAATTAAAAACAGAAAATGGTGTAGGCGCCAAAATTACAAATATTTCCTAAACTGTTGATTTTATTTAGTAGGACTGAGAGAGTAATATCGTTGGTAAATTTTATTATTAATTAGTTTTTGAAGTGAATATAGCAAAACAATACTGTAATTTAGCGATTGTTTATATAATGTCATACCATACATGGTACAAACTCATAAGATGAAGTAGAAAACTAACCTAGAAACTAGAAAATTAATAATCCGTGATTGCCTTACAATTCGCCTAACTCGAGAGTAGTCTCATTATAATACGCCTGAATATGTTCAGTTTATTCTAGGCGCAATGTAAAAATATTGGATTTTACGTTTATTTTAGTTATAGCTGTGTGTAAAAATATATGCCCTGCTTGGTAATACTGAGTCTTCAAATTAGTAAAAGTAATGAGACAAATATATAAAATAGCAATTATTGCTTCATTTTGTTTATATTGAGAATGCAAATGATTTATACAATCTTTATATTACGGTATGAGCTATGTCGAATGTATTAAATACCTACATCAAACATTAAGGATCGAGGGAGCTTAAAAAATATTTGTAAAACAAACGTATTATGTTTTTAATGTAATTTTCTAAAGTAATTCATTACTGAATTGTAACTAGATAGGGTAGAACAGAAAGAGTATCGAGAATTATGTAAGAAAATAGCATCTCCTGGACCAATATAATAAACAATGCGAATATAACACGTATTAAATTAAAATTTAACTATGTCTCCATCTTATTCCTACTGCAGCCATTTCAAAAATTAATAGTCTCAAAATAAAACTGTTCAGAAATGTATTACACCTAGTTTCGAGTATTTTACGATATATTTAACGAAAATTTCTTCTTTATTAATTGGAAAAAATTTACCAGGGGACTGCTACCCATGTTATGTATAATAAAACTGAGCATAAAATCTAATTAATTTCAATATTACAGGCAGACTTAAATTTAACTGAGCTTAATTAGAAATCAGATGCAGTAGTGGTTTCACTCTGTACCAAATTCTCGCGGAAATATCTAATAAATAAACTGGTAATAACAGCATTTCTGTGTGTATTAGTTCCGGGACAATGTATGAATTTATTTTATTAAAAGAAATGTCACTTATAATATTCTAATTTGAACTTTTGAAATTTTATGTATAATGCTGATTAGATATCTTTTTTAAGAGCAAATTTATTATAATGGTACAGTAAAATATGTAAACACTAAAAATGTAGATAAACAAGTTTTCATGACTTGTACAACCATCTTGTATTTAAAAAAAATGTAAATACATCATCCTTTTGAGTAAATTTTTCACGTATATTATGATCTAGATATGAAATTAATAACTTTCAAATCCACATTTCAGACCTTTATATAACTCTGTTACACATTTATGAGTTGCTGCAAAAAATATATACGCCTTTAATTAGTTTTTTTGGTAATAATCCCTGCTAAATTATCATTAATTACATAATTACTGCCCCTTAAAATTTAAAGTAATAAAACAAATATAAAAAGGGCAGCACCGCTTTACTTTGTGAATACAAATGTAATTTTTATCATTTTATATATTGCAATACAAGCTATACATATAGAATATATAATATACCTACAATAACTATCTGCTGTCAAAAATGTCGTTAAAATAAGTGTTTAGTTAAATTTTCTGAAGCAATTAGTTAGGTATATGATGAAAACTTTAATAAATTTCGAGGCTTCTGATGAAATGCAACAAAGAGTATCGATATTTACGAAAATAACATCTACCTTGAACAATACAGTAGAGAATGTGAGTATAACATAGACATAATAGAGGATTCAATGGCGGTTTTTAAAATTCGAATATGGTTTCATCCTATTCTTACTGTAGTCGTTTTCATCCTAAAAATTGAATAAATTTCCAAGGAAATTTTCAAAAATATGTCACACTTTGCATATTTGCATTTTTACGTAACGAAAATTCGTTCTTTGTTCATTGGAAACGCCTGGGAACTACCGATAAGAGTGTATTAATTTCAACTTAATTGAAAATCAGATGCAGTAGTGTTTTACTTTGCACCAAATTCTTGTGGTTTTAACAAGATACTGCTAATAACAGCACCAAACATGCATTTTTATATGAATCAGTTGTGAGATAATAATGTAGGTAGGTGTTAATTTTATTTAATAACGTCACGAACACACTTTTAATATTTCTGTTTGAATTTGGCCAAAATTTATATATAACGCTAATCAAAGTTTGTTTTTATACTATAAGAATTAAAATATGATTGTATCTAATATAATGACTTAAGTGAATGTAAAATTAAATCTGTTGGAATATCTGCGCCCCGCCATGAGTTTCATGCTAGAATTTAGTTCAAATTAATGTAACTTTGGAACTATCGGTGAGTTCTCCAGGAAATATTTCTTTATAGGAGAAGGTTGTTAAACGTAAATGGGGCTGTTTGTAAGTGAAACGACGGCTCCACAATGTATTGACTAACTAGCGTGCAAATTGAAACATTTTATTTCAGGGTATTTTTAATCAATCCATATTATCCTCACTTTTTAATGAATTTAAATGAATCTTCAGATATATTTGAACATTTAGTAAAGATTTCAAGAAAATGATTACTTTTTATCTTCCTAGTTTCTTTTAATTAGTCAATATGAAAAATATGGGAAGGGCCAAATAGGCCTATCAAGTGGACTGTATGTATAAAAGAAAAGAAAAAAAACTCACCAAAATCTGATGAAGGGTAGAAAACCCGTTCGACAAATTACTATTTGTGTATCACTTAAAGATTTAGTCACATAAAGTTATAAATTTTAAGATGTATATAACGAAATATCGAATAACATGCTACAAGTGCAAGAACTGAACTAATGTTGCTATTTTATACAGGGTGTCCGGAAATACCGTTCGAATAATTCTAGGGGTGATTCTACATGTTAAACTATGAAGAAAAGTTCATATGAACATAGGTCCGCAAATGCGTCATAAGGTTGTTATGGCGATTCAAAGATTGCACCGGGATATAGGTTTTATTTTATATCTCTGGAACTGTTTCAGATAGC